GTTCATTTACAATTTGTGTGATAGCTGTACATATTTAATTTTCTATCCGCTTTTGAAGAACTTTAATTATATTAGATTACCTTTCTTGTTGTAGCCCGTAGTTGTTGATTTAACAAACATCTTACTTACTCATAAGCTACAAGCTACAACAAAAAAAGGTAATATAATACATACAAAATGTACCAATAAAGGTAACGAAAATGGTATATTAAAAAAAAACACTAATTTTAAAATGTATTTCATCAGTGATCTTCAATAATTTATGGCCGTCAGCTATAAATTGAACCTGTTGTAAACATAAGCTTCTCCATAAGCATACTCCATTACCTCTTCGTTCATTGTAATTTGAATTAAACGCAACACGTTTGCACATCACAAAGGTTAATAAATCTAAAAGGACTAATAATTCAATTCAAATCTAATTATGAATTAATTTTTATTATACTGTATCTACTCAAACACCCTCCTGACTTTACACGCTACCTTCAAAGATGTTCTTGTGAACTTCTCAATAGTTATTGAGCATATGTGAGTAGTAATTGAGCACTTGCTCACACCTTCATAAAAAACTAGAGTTTAACTAGTCGTATTAACTCCTCACTACTTACTTATCCTGCTCATATGCCCAATAGATATAAGAGTTTGAACTTTTTTTTATCTTAAAGCTAATCTTAATACAAAGTTGTATGAACCTTTTACTAATGCCCAACTTCCTCTATCTTCCAATGATATACTGATATAATACACTTCGCTCAAACTTCTGTTGTGTTGGTAAAATATTTCACAGTAAACTTCAAAAAGTCTTGTAATGTCATTAACAACTGTTTATATTTATTAAAACTCCAATGATAACAACATATAACTAAGTACACAATATTTAATTACATGACTATTAAATTTAAAAAATCTAATCATGAAATAACTATTATTTTTATATCCACTTACTGTGACCGATAAAACATAACGTAATATAGGTATTTACTGAGGGACATTCAACGGAAACATTATATTAATGCATAAACAAGCAAATCTATTTATACAAATACATATGAAAAGCTCGATTCACCAATAGTTTTAAATTAGTGGAGAAATTACAAATTGTCTATAAGTACAAAAAATGTGCTAGGTGTTAAATAAGGGTAATTAAGTAAGAAATATAACATTCAGCTAAAAACATAATCATTTAAGGTTAGGAGAACATTTTTGAAATAAACTAAAACACAATGTACAGTGTTAAATATCAAATTACACCACAGTATGTTTGCAGCCAGAGTTAACGGCGCGAGTTTATGTTGTGTTTTATGGAGCCACAACTCTACAAGACTACGAGGGAATTAGGAAGTCGGCGATACAAGAGGGCTAGAGCGAATTTTCTTGTATTTTGTAGCCTACGTTATGACGAAATGTTAACGTAATGTTCATATTGGCTAAAAAATACACAGTCATCTACCATTACAGATTAAACCATTTCTACACCTAAAATAATATGAGTTAGAATCTAATTCATTTAGATATATACATTATTAAGCATATGAAAGTCTTCTTTTAATTAAAATATAAAAATAAAGAAGAATTTCCGAAATACGTTGTAATAAAAAACAAATCGAAAATATCCTTATGATACCTTTTCTTAATGGTAGAATGACGCGTCAATATTAAAAGAAAGCCAAACAAGTATCTATGACAGTATAATTATTGTTCTCAATATATCTAAGTTCATAAATCCGATACGTTCCTTTTTATAAAATATACTTTGTATTGTAAAATTGTTTGTTGACATTAATATAATATAAAAGAAACATTCATACATGTATTACTCCCAATATATCGCGTGACTTAAAAGGAAGCCAAGCTTGCGTTTTAAAGATTTTTTTTCGTATTTTAATGTAATACAAGATGAGAGCCTTTGAAAGATAAAAGCAATTATATTGTTCCAAGGCAGTTAATTTCAGCGGCAACGAAAATATGATACCGTTATAATTTAATCTTGCACTTTGTAATTTACCTGTTGTGGGTTTAAATCGTTTTCAGCATATTTCAAATACAAAGTAAGGAAAGTATTTTTTTTATTTATTTAATAACAGTCTTTTATAAAACGCTTTATGAATTTGACTATAAATCATATTTTTAATTTATAAATTAGTAGAGGTCTAAATTAACATTGGATATTTAACATAAAAACTACTTGAATCATCTTTTTATAACGTGTATTCTCTCCCCATGTTTGGTATAAAAAACATTTGTTGATTGTTATGCATTGTCAAAATTTATTTTTACCATAATGAATGCGGTTTCGTCATTTTTCCATTCACTCAAAACTCATTTTTTTATACAATTACTTGCAAATAATACTCCGAAATACTGGAGAATATTTAAAAAAAAATTTTAAGAACTAATAATCCAGTGATATCTGAAATTATGCTACGTGCCTTGGATTTTGAGAAAAAAGTTGCATTTTAATTTTCCTAACCTATATGTGTTTGAGTCTATTTTTTAAAATTAATAACGATAGGTACTATTTATTTATTTAACAATCAATCAATCAAATTATCCGTTATTCATTTTGTACACATACACTAGGCTGCTAACATAGTTATAGTTTTTTTTTTTTGTACGAACCATTAGAGTCTCGTTTTGAGTTTTCCATATTTTTTATTATTATTTATTGACGTTTCCATCAAATAGTAGTAGTACACATAGTACATAGTAAGTACACAAACAATAACAATTTCAAGAGATAATTGCGTGCAAATACACAATGTCTCAAGTAGTTTCACTCATAAATCGGTAAATAAATAAAACCTGTGTACACTGCATGTTCTCCATACTCAAGGTAAACATAAATGAAGAGCAGGTCTTAAATAAAATTATAAACTGAACAGATTGAGAAGGCACGGCCAGCAGACAGCGTTTAATGTTTCCGGCGGAAGTTCGCAGCGCTATCTTGAGTCACCGGAACTGCTTAAACAGCTTCTTTAAACGTCATTAAAATTTAAATGACAATTTGCCAAGTAATTAAAAATTATATTTTTTCATGTCATCCTAATATTTTAACACATTTTCAACTCCATTAATGTAGACTTAGACAAATCAAGTATCATTTATAAACTACTCAACCCCGCTGGTATATAGGCTCACAGTATTTAATTATTTATTTTCTCCTATTCACTTGAAGAACCAAACTATTTACATTGCTATATGCTGAACAGAATCATCTCTCAATACGAGTTGTATATAACACTTCAACAATACGATAGTTTTTAAATTCTTGTATCAATTAATTGTAGTTGGCTTGTATTGCACAATTACTCAAGAGGCAATAATGAATCCTTTGGCACTGAATGATTATAGTATTTTGACATACAAGTTGTGCTATTTTAAGTTAAAACTTTTAATTTGTTTGTTGCATCAAAATACAAATGAAAAGTTTTACTTTGGTGAAAGGTTCCGCTTATATGATAAATTAAGTGTTTAAATACTTTAAATATTACACCTTGAATCGTCTAGTAAAACTAGGCTAGAGATAGTTTTATGTTAGGAATAAAAGATGGTATACTTTAATGTACAATTATCTTTTCAAAGTCTAAAGGTAAAAAATCAAAACAAATTGGAAAAAACTATTTTTTTCAGTCATTTAATAGGAATCAGGTGAATTGGTTTTAGTATAACAATTGAAGATACATACTTCAAACGTTGTGTTTAGTAGACTAAGGGGAACCTATCCATTTCATTTTGATAGACCTATTACAAAAATACTCTCGCAGTATTTTGTATTATGTCCGTAATTTAAGTGACATTGTTCCATTAATGGTAAATAAATTAATAAGATTACCCGTTCGTGCCTCCATCATACCAACATATTTATCGAGTTAAATCACAAACAACATTTTAGAAGCCTTAAAACTACTGTTAATATGGATTTTTTTCATTAAATTTTATACGATACTATTTGCCTTACCGTTGCATTGTCATATGGTGTAAAACATTAAGAAAATAGTGTTATCAACTGAAGGAGATAATGAACAGAAATTAATGTTTTAAAATGTTGCATAAACCACTAGAGTAATAATGTTACTTACATTTTACATATTTATTTTAAATTAGTTTACACTTTTAAAACCATTCTCGCAGCATAATTTCACGAACATAAATACGGTGAACGTAAAATACACGATATTAATCTGAAAAATAACATTTATCAGAGCAAAAACTAAAAAAAAACTCAAATTCATGCAACTTAGCTTTCAAACTCTTTTCATGGACCTAAGTCAATTAAAAAAACCTATCGAGATTTACTTCATAGACTTGAAAGGCCTGTGCTCTTAGAGGTTTGAAATAAGGATTAAAAACCGTTCCTGTATTACCTAGTCTATATCAATTCATTTAAATATTTATTGCTTTTCACAAAAACAAGAAAATAAATACAAGACAAAGATAAATGCAGTGAAGAGAAGCAAGGTGCGAAGTCACTAATGTTTCCGGCGGAAGTTCGTCTCAGCTATCTGACGTACGACAGCGCCGGAAGTGACGACACAACATATCTTCTATGTCTCAGCACATCCCTTAGTATTGCACAATATCACGATACAACAACAGTACGAATCACATTTTTGTCTTTTTATATGAATAATACACGTTTTAACGTATTCCAAAGTTTCTTCAATTATAAGGGATAGTATGTAAACTATCCCGGGAATAAATATGTGGAATAAATTGCCTGATACATTTAAAACTGAACTCACAATAAATGTTGTTTTCACTAAATGATTTAATCTTAACGATCATTATTTAACCAGGTACAACAGTGTGTATATTAGCATTGACTATAGTTAATTATATTAGTTAACAAAGTAACCTTAACCATTATTGCTAGTATTTTAACTAGGCTACTATAAGTTTGACTAGTTTACTAGTATCCATCCCCAATTGTGTCAGCCTGTTAATTTGATTGTGCTAACTTTGACTCAGAGTATTTTTTAATAAACTATTTTGTGTTTCAGTACTTTCCGATGAGCCAAAGTTTCTCGAGCCTATACCTAACGTGACAGTACCAGTGGGAAGAGATGCGTCACTTCCTTGTGTTGTGGAAAACCTCGGAACGTACAAGGTAAGGTGACATCTCAATTTAAATGTGATATTCATCATAGATATCAAAATAGTTTATATTGATATTATTCCACCTATTAGCCAGCAATAATTAATAAACCTTTACAGACTTACCTTTCGATTTAAAGATTTTGCTTCCTAGGATATATTTTACAGCTATGTTTAATTGTATATGTAGCTATTTTAAGATGCACGCCAACAAAATATTACGGATGAAAAAAAACTAAATAAAAGAAAAAAACATACACAACGTTTTTACTCCATGAGCAAGGATTAAAAATGGTATTAGTAAGTGTGTTTTAGTATTGTAACAAGAGCTCACCCCGTGGTCAAAAACTTGACCAAAAGTATGTATTGTGCAAACTTCTCTATTTATCCCCACGCTGTAAATAAAACATGCAATTAGAATTTCTTCCGTGACCTTCTTTTGGTACAAAGCGCGTGTAAATCGGTCCAGTAGTATGGTCAGGCTAGCTGTCGTAAGCTTTACAATTTTTCCCCATGTTAAATCTCCAGAAGAAAAGTCTCCATAATTATTTTTATATAATATGTTCCTAGAGGTCGCTCCGTGGTTGAAAACCCAACAAAAAATATGTAATGTACAGACTTCTCTATTTTCCCCACACACACTGTAAATAAAACATGTGATTGATCTTCCATCTGTTTTGATGTTCTGTTTATATTTTGTTGTTATTTCGTCATCACCATGGCAACCCATAAGACCCATGTAATTTTTTTAAAGATTTCAAATTAATTTTTCGTGTTTATTTGTGAGCCTAATTCAATTTATAATTGTATTCGTCACATCTACCGGTAAATATCTTTCATTTGGTACCAACTACGTGTAATTCGGTCCAGTACTATGATCAGGCTAGCTGTCATAAGTTTTTCAAACGTTTTTTAGTATATAAGATTACTCTTTTCACTTTTTATTTTGTTAGATAGTACAAAAACTAACTAATTAAGTAATCGCAAAATAAAAATAAATAAAAAAACAGTACCTTAACAGTTGTTGTACTGATGATTGATTTATTCATTCAAACATAAACTTTTTATTGGTATTTAGTTAGTTAAGAATATTTAACACTTCTAGAGAGCTATATATTTTATGTAAAATAATTATATTTGCGAGCACATATGACGAAGTATATAACACCTCCCAAACCTTAGGCAGTTATGTCTCACGCAGTCATAAATTTGCAGCTTCTTAGGCCTATTTGCTTTACATAACTTACGAACAAAGGTGAAACTTAAATTGTAATTCTTAAACGTTTACAAACAAAAGCGTCCTGACTGATACAAAATGTTTTGTTGAATATGCTATAGTAATTATGTTTCCTTTCAGACCTCAAAAGACACTAAGTCTCACCAATCTATATCATTTAGCACATAGATACTAACGCAATTTGTTTTGCTAGGATTAAATTATCACAGCTCAACCACTTCAATCAGTTCCCCTTTTATTATATAAATTTAAATTATTTTTGTTATTTAAATCCATCAGTATTTTGGATTTGCATTCTGATTTCACGATAAACCTTAAAAATGACAGGAATAACACTTTAGTATATCTTTTTTACACTATGGATTCCATTCGAAGTCTGTTTCCACACTATTTCACAGTATGTTTTTCTTTATGTGACAAAGAAACATTTTTTCATTTGTTGACCTTTCAAGAGGAGAACAATAATATATATATACATGTTATCCCAGTACTATTTACAAACGCAAGTTTAGCTTAATGGCTTTTACACTTTTAAGGTAATACAATTATTACACCCAAACTTCGTTATGTTTATGTTGTATGTTATAAGTTAATTTTATTATAAAGAATAAATAAGGTTAAATTTACACAACTTCCAAGTACATTACATATCAATTCCCGAAAGTACAATGTTCATAGAATACTACGCTTTGATACATAAAAGGATACACAGAGCAACCAATAAAAATGCAAATCAACGGAAAAGCATAAGGGTTCTTCTGTTGAACTTCTGCTTTGCGATTTATATAAAATATATTCCTACAGAGTCATGATTTCAAACGCCTACATATAAGTACAATTTAGAAATTATTTTTTCAGAGGTTTAGCTATAAAAACATATTTTAATGAGGTTATGGATATAGTTGTGACAATGGGCTTAACTAATAATTATGAAATGCAGTTACATTAAATTTTTTTTTATACAAACTTTTATACAAACCCATATATTTTTTAGTGTTGTATGGCTTCCTTTCTTTCTCAACGCTTTTATTAGATCTTATTCTTTGTATGTATTTCGCAAGAAGTTTTTACAAACATATCAATAGCATAAATACTTGAAATCAACTCAATTCTTAAAACTGAGATAGTTTCTCTATGGACTTTCAAATAACAAGAATATACATTAGATTAGTAAAAAAATTCAAAATGCCTTTCAATTACTTTACTAAAATACAGAAACTGTAGATTCACAACGTAATAGAAGCACAACAAATCATCCCAAGTAATATGCAGAATGTGCTCTCTCGCGTTAAAGTGCTCATACGTCTCATCACTTACTCATTTACATATATATTGGGTAATTTGGTAAGTGACTGACGTCCTTCCTAATCATCCACCTCACTTTGGTGTCTTAGAAAATAACTAGAATTGAACTACAGTATATCAATCTTTATAAATACATACCTGCAGAAACTAGCGAATTTTACGTCAACTCTGTCTATTAGATTGCAGTTATTGAAATTAAAATTAAAATGTTAGTTCATTTTATATAACCTACGTGTCTTTCTCATAAACCTATATGTACAAACGGTGATCAGAAAGAACTGTACGGTATACCTATCATTATCAGACCAATGTTGACTACATTAAGCTGATTTCGAACACGTGACGTCTGAATCATCACATCAACATCCCAAACGACTTATCCACCACTTTTCATACATTTCACTCATTCTTTCCCTAGAAATTATTTTTATGTAGACAGACTTTTGCACCAAACAGGCTATACTAATCATTTACCGAAGCTCTGCTCTCTACCTGCTTACTCCCTCAAAAGACTCAGTTTTACCTTATTCACCTAACATACAGCTCAAACTAGGACTAATGTTATTAAAATTATCATTATTCATACCTTATTCCACTTTTTTCGATGCATAATCAATATTCCCCATCTCACAGGTTGCCTGGATCCACATCGATCGTCAGATGATCCTCACCATCCACAGACACGTCATATCCAGGGTACCCAGGTTCAGTGTATCTCATGACAGTCAGAAGACTTGGCTGTTACATGTGACGGGGGTTCAGCAAGAAGACAGAGGCTTCTACATGTGTCAAGTCAACACAAACCCGATGATCAGCCAAGTAGGCTACCTTCAGGTGGTAGGTAAGTGTACCTATATGTAATTTAATTATCTCATAGTAGTAATAGTTTCACATGCTTTGAGAACTTTGGGATGGACTAGGTTAAATTGGTTTGGGTAATTTTAATCGATTCGTTGTGAAAAGATAAGAACTGTGTTTTGCATTTTGAATTGTCTTGAGATTCTACTAGAAAAGGTTTTGATTTGTTTATGTAAAATATAGTATATTTCGTACCTATTGCAAAACCATTTCGCTATTTTTCCTAGTATCAACGATATTTTCACCACACTATACCCTATTAACACTATTCTCCAAAATAATAATGCACACAATCAACACAACTACACCTTTAAGGTTATGTAAGGTGCTTGTGGACCATGTCTGTATCAAATTTGAACTCATTTTGAACTCGAGATTTAAAAGCATGTTCGTTTTGGATCAATAACCTTTTCAAACCTTTCAGTGCCTCCCAACATCATAGATGAGGACAGTTCAACGTCAGCTGTAGCTGTGAGGGAGAACCAGAATATCAGTTTGGTCTGCAAAGCAGAAGGTTTCCCCACCCCGAAGATAATGTGGAAAAGAGAAGATGGAAATCCCATCACACTTGATAGAAAGAAGAAAGGTACACTATGTAGTATAGGCTTTTAGTGTTCCGTCTTATTATATCTTATCTAAGTGATAAAATTTGGAAACACATGCGAATGGAAACCTTTGGCGTGGAATTTTTCTTAAGTAATAGCTAGCTAAAAAAACATCAAACATTGGTGATCTTTAAAGACTTCTCTGAAATATACTAAAACAAATTAATAGTCTCAACAATTTAGTTAACTGGGTAAAACTGGACATTTTGTAGCCAAAATTTAAAGGTACGATGAGTAAATTAGGGAGATTTCTTTGGTAGATAAGCTATCCCTTTAAAAAATTACCATTTATTTAAGGCCCAATGGTCTAAAACACTAAAGACTAAAAGTTTCTCAAGTTTGAACCATCACGTTGTGACTACCAGACAAGCATAAAAACCACCCACATAAGCTACACTTGATATTTAATCATTGTTAGAGTAAAATAAAGATACACACTTAAGTATTCGATCCGAACGATGTGTTACATTATTGGAAAAATAAACTATCACTTTCATCCATACTTGTTCCATTAACTCAAACATACAGTGCCAGTTGTGATACAAAGTTCTACAACTGTGTTCCCAGGAGTTGTAACAGTGACTGTGTACGACGGAGAGCAACTCAACCTAACTAGAATCACAAGGAACGAGATGGGAGCCTATCTGTGTATAGCAACTAACGGCGTGCCACCATCCGTCAGCAAGAGAATCATAGTGGATGTCGAATGTAAGTGATGTTGAACTAGTTTGGCTAGATAGGAAGGTCAAATGATTAAATATTTTGATTAAAAGCAGTTTTAAATGTTTAATTAATATGATGCTCTTAGTAATCGTCTTATTGAGACTGAAGCATGGATAGTAAAACTAGGTTAAATGTTAAATGTACGCATGCGATGTATGGAGGTGTTCAACTAATTCTACTAATTTTTTTTTAGGTATGTTATTTTATGACTTTTCGACCACGCATTGATGATATAAATTTATACATGATTGATTGAAGAGGGTTAATTTTGTGAACATAACTTCTCTTAAAGCTTTTAACCAACTTACACGATTTAGGTGTTGTTTTTAATAGCCCATGCATCTTTAAAAATGGTCTCAATGGCAAGGGATTTTACCAAGTGACCAACAAAGTTGATATTTTAATTTGATGAAAAATATTTGTGGTATTCAAATCAGCTTTTCTCATTTGTTTATTCTTAATTGTTTTGATGTATTTTAAATTGACCGGCTATCTATGGATACCTGGAGAGTCTGAGAGTTCAGTGTTTGGCTGAATTTGTGAATAAATTGATCTTTGGTAATCTCTTACAAATAGTTCCTGTTGATCCCATTTACGTCACACTATTTCAAATTAATACTCAATTTTATTGGAGTGAGTACTAACCTTGAATAGAAACGTATTAAAATTTGAATGGAATTTATATTACCACTTGGCCAAATGTTTTGCAATATAAAAAAGTAAGTAATTATAGCAACATGTTAGCAAAAACTACTATGCTACTACTTAAGGTCCTTAAAATTAAAGTTCTAATCAGTGATTAGGCAATATATTAAATACTTTTATAATCCCAAAACATACATCTTACATATAAGTTGCAGAATCAGGCCGTATATGCTGCTGTTCTAATAATAAACATTTCAATAAAACAAATAAGGAAGTCGAGGAATTTTCTTGAGCTTTCAGTAAACGCAAAACGTGCCCCATTTCTCTCTTGAGCAAACGCCGGCTGCTACTAAGTGCGGCTTGACTCTGTAACTGTTCCCCTCATACTTAAGGAACGAATCCCATTGTATAATTTATCTTAATATATAAAGTATATAGATTGTTTATAAATTAGTACACTACCAAAAGTAGTCAAATTACATAGATGGGAGAATGTATATTTTATTTGTGTGGATTGTGAATTATACCTATAACAAAAATATAAAGGAATTTTAAAATGCGATTTGAATAGTAATTATCAGATATTGAAGTTATTGTAACGTTATACAATCCTCGCATACAAATCATTTGCTTTGAAACCCCTTAGCGTTTTCAAATTTGGTGCAACCTCCACATATTACTATTAGGCATCACTTTTTTTTATATTGGTAAAACATTTAGTAAATAAACAGTTATGAAATGGTGTACTAAAAAGAAACTGACTTTCATTTGACTTCAATAATTGAGAATATAATAGTTAGGCAACAATAGTTCTTGTACCACACAGTCTGTCCGAATCCGGCTAATATTAGATGAATATTCAGCAGAAAAAAAAACGTTTCACTCATGGGGATAGCGTTAGTGTGTTAAAGACACAACATTATACTTATTATCTCAATTTCGTTAAGCCCAAATGTATTTGTCTCCATAATATTGGTGTATATTTATATTTCAGTCTCGCCGATGGTGTGGGTACCAAATCAGCTGGTAGGAGCTCCAGCTGATACAAACGTCACTATTGACTGCTACACAGAAGCCTACCCTCGAGCCATCAGCTACTGGGTCTACCAAAACGTCATGCTTCTCCCAACGTCCAAGTATACTACTGAGACTTCAGAGAATAGCTACAGGTCCACGATGAAACTGACCGTGCACAACCTTCAGCCGAGAGACTACGGCAACTATAGATGCATCTCAAAAAACTCCCTGGGGGAAACAGAGGGTTCCATACGACTATACGGTATGATTTATGTGTATGTGTGAACGTATAGTTATTCGTGCAACTAGTGAGAAAAGTGAGCAATTGCCTCACTCGAGAGAAATCCCTACTCAAGAGCCGTAGGCGAGTGAGGAATGGTTTCTCGAGTGAGGCAATTGTAGGCCTACGTTACGGCCTTTCCTACAGTTACCATAAAACAAATAAATTGGTGAAGAAACATAACCTATTTTTACACAGAAGTGAACTTTTAATATAACATTTAATGTGAAGTGACAAATAAACAGTACAACAGCTGACCAGCTGATTTACAGCCGGTGCTGCAAACGTTTTTCGCGCGCATACGACGTTGCCTGCATGTTACGCGCTCACTATTTCGTGCCTTCACGTTGCAAATCTGGAGTGAGACAAAGTAATTACAGAGAGACAATGTTAACATTGTCTCACTGATAAGCGAATTGGCCACTTTGCTTTCTCAAATCAGTGAGAGAACATGTACATTGTTAGGTAACTGTAGGAAAAAGTTATTTATACGTGTTATAGGCTAATGAAGACCATACAATTCTTATCTAAATTAATGCTGGTCTTATTTTGTGTATGGGTATGCTGTACGCCACTTACAACATAGAAGTTAGTTATAAGAACAAAGGCAATTTCTTATTAATTCAAGGGTTGAATATAAGTGGTTGCGTATAAATGGTTGCGGTAGCAAATAGTTTCGGTTCAACACTGGAACCATCAGGCTTTGGTTCACTTTTATTTTGTATCACTTTTCTCACTAGTTGCACAAAACCATCAGGCTTTACAAGGACATTGTCGCTTCTTGAGAAAGTCGTCACAGTTTACAGAAAAAGTTACAAAACATCGAAACATAAAACACGCCCTGCACGGCTACCGCAACTATTTAAATTGGTAATTTACTCAGGGGAGGTACAGAAGAGGCTACGATGACAGCTGTGGGCTTCTTATTAGCTGAGGGAACGCCATTACCGTAACAATACGAGTTGAAGCCATTGGCCTCGGTGGTCTAGTGGTTAGCGTGCCGGTCTGATATGCTGAAGGTCCCGGTTTCGAATCCTGCTAGTAACATTAACTTTTTGTCCAATAGTTTTTCATTATCAGCAAGTTTAGTTGGTTTGGTTCGATTATGACAGTTTAATTTTATTATTAAGTTATTATAAAATTTTTATTGAGCAATTTCTAGTTTTATTTAATAAACAGAATTATTTTTTCTATTACTAAACTTTTGTTATACTGTATTATTTCATTATCAGCAAGTTTGGTTAGTTCGGTTAGGTTATGATAGTTTAATTTTATAATTAAAAAATAATAAAATTAAATTTGAGGCATTTATAATTTTATTTTATGAACAGAACTATTTTTGCGATTAGTAACTTAAACCTTCATTGCCAAAGTGCTCTCTACTACAGCGCTGTTCACGGAGGAATTTTGAACTAATGCCTCAATCGTACCTCCCCTAAGTCAGACCCATTTAAATTACATAAAATACAGGTTTTAAACCACTTGTATTGTATATTGGTAACCCGTAGGCTATACATATTGATAAAGGTATAGGTGAGTTGTCTCTAAATTTGATGATAAATTTGTAAGACTTTACGGTAGATTGAAGTATCTACATTACTTAAGCAATATTTTCTCACTATGTGTCTACCTGAATGAAATTTCTAAAGGATACAATTAATTATCCGATGTATTGAATGTACTGAATCTGATATCTAACAGATTTTTTGCAAATTTTCAGAGATCCCGAGGCCCTCATCTCCACCAAAAGCCACAAAAGTCGTCAGCGGAGCGACGAAAGAAGGTAAAATACAGTGTTTATAAAAAAAACATCGACCAACAATTTATTATATTAGATATAAAATATTGTCATCAGTATCAATACAGGTATCTACTAAAGGTATTATTTACGTATTAATTAGCTTCATTTCATTTATTGTTTTACGTATAATTCATTCTATATCATAAAAGAGTTGATTCCAACGCGAGTGATAAATATTTTACTATAGGAATTGTTTTTTTATCTCCCTGGTTTCAATATAGAAATTGAAGCCTCAACTTTGATTACATCAAACAACAACTTTGAGAATCAAACAATGTTTATATTGTCAAAATAACTAATTTCATGATAAATACAAAAAAATATCAACGTATGTTCCAAAAATATACCTTCACTTAGATACAGTAAATTCAATTTCGTTTAACGAAAATGATGTAAGAAAAATTAAAATAAAATATTCTAAGCACATAAAATAATTTGTGCTTACATTATTCATAGTTGTTCCAGACAATTTTAGAATTGATCTGCATCAAGTTTTATTCGAAAGAACACGAATACTAAAGTATTCATAGCGATGCAATACAGTATATTGTGCGGGAGAGGTATTTCCTCTTCGTATATTTAAGAACCATACATGCCGGTGTTTGGGGTTCCTTAATATCCTTTCTGACTTTTATGGCCGTTCGGTCAGACTTAAATTCTTCCGTACTTCTCTCCTTACTTTTACAGCTACCTCGTGAAACTAGACTGTGTATTTTATAAGTAAATAAACTATCCTAGTAATATCCTCCAGTGTCTATCACATTATCATCTTGCGTTTCGTAACCATTAAATAAATACAAGGTAAATCAAGCATTTAATTATACATATTAAATACACACAGATTTTAAGAGTGTAAACATCTATAAACAATGGATTAATTCCTATTACAGCGTTCTACAATAATCGTATTGATTGTTTGCGATTATTTTCAGATTAGCTTATGACTTTCACGACTTTCTATCTACGCATCTAGCAATTTCTAGGATAATAGTTCAAGATATTTTTACTACCCAAAGTTCAGATATTGTTAGATAGCATCCTACGTTCATAGCCCAATGACAAACAAATGCCATCTAGGTCTGGTCACGTTCTTGCTTGGAATCAAACAAATGTTTGGGAACATCTTGAATTTTTATATTTAGGCAAATAGGTGTGAAATTTGCTAGGTGTATTTTCTGCCTTATTTACTAACAAGTGATTTTACCCAACAATTACTTTTTTTTTAACTTTCTGATTTTATCATTGAATTTTGTAATGTAAATCAACCCCATTAGAATAATTAAGTTTTGACTCGTGCATAACGTACGATAAGAGTCTAACCAAGATGGACAAAAATAACTAGACTAAGGAACGCGTATAAATAAGTTATTCCACCAGTGGCAGTCTTTTAGCCTTATTGTATTTGTATACAAAGGACCTAACCTAACCTTTAACTTGATAAATTCGTATTATTGTACACTCTTACCATATGAGCTCACAGTTAATGGTTGACTCAACATGCTAAAGTTTGTTATTTACACTTTTTTGATGTTATATTTTATTTATGTTTTATTTTTACCTTTGTAAAAGTATTCAGGCAAGCATTTGTAATGCATAGTGCGATTGCAAGGGAAGAGCAGTTTCTGTCATATATCACTCCCTCCCCATACAGTGACTTGCGGTGTAAGGGAGAGGGTAGTTGAGTTATAGTACCAGCAAAGTGCAGAAAAACTAATGGCATTATATTTTGCTACTTGTTGTCCAGAACAAACGTTATGCTTCAAAATAGATGATTATTCCTTAGAATTTAAAGTTTTACATGGGGTTAACATTTTTCTTTTGAGCGAGAAACCTCGTATTTAATGTATTCTTAGAAAATTCTATTTTCCTTTTTTTACTGTGATATAATTTTACGAACCTTGCCTTAAGAGTCCTTGTAGGCTAGCGGTCATCCTTGATAATTTTAAACAGCTGATGAAGAGTTATTTATCGTCCAACAATATTTTTTCAAACACCAAAGTGATAATAATTTAAATATCTAGTATACTGTGAGATTATAAATGTTTTTGTGGTTTTGAATTAATTACTCTCCAAGGGAGTCCATGGAAGCTAACGGCCATCTTGGATTTGCCCGCCATAAGAGCAATGTTAATTTTGTTAGTTTCAAACAGCCGCTAAAGAGCTATTTACCATCTCAAAATATGTTTCAAACACCATAGTAATTGTTATTTAAATATCTAGTATACTGTGAGATTATAAATTGTATTTGTAGTTGTTTAATTGTGTTACGAGTTCGAAGACAGTTCGAAGACAGTTCGAAGACAATTCGAAGACAATGCTCCAAGGAAGGTTAAAGTTAGACAATTTAATACGTTTTTTTGTATTCGCATTGACTTTTTACGTTCGCACCTTCGAAATTAATAAAAGTTGCTGTTGTAATAAACTTGTGTTAGCTTTGAATCGATAGGTCATAGAGTGAACATAGTATGGATATTAATGTTTAGATTTATTGTTACTTTTCGAGTAAATACTACCAACTTGTATAATAGTAAGCGACGTTAGATTCATTAACTACAGATTTCATTTGTAATGTTTATGATAACACCTACAATTTAACCACGAGCCTTTGAACAATTTTTGTTCTATCAAAAACTCAATAAAATATTAAACTTATAAAATAGGGCTGCTTAAATTTTAAAACTAAAGAAATAAAACTATTTTAAAGACAAAAGAACGACAAAAAAGCTGTTTTATTAGGCTATTCTAAGCTATTTCTTATATACTTTCAGTGTTTTGGATTGCCACCAACACGTTGTCGTAATTTCTTATATAATATGGAATAAATAATATACTTATGGCAACGTTGAAATTTCAAGTAAATTAACACGAAACTTTTCATGTAAAAAAACTGTTCTCCCTTCGTAACTGATAAATGTACCTATAACTCTTTTACATGTACCATTCATTACCTTATCAAACATATCTAAGTCTCCAGGAAAGCCACATTTTCAAACTGACATAAATACTAGACCGAAGCAACGCTACGTTTTGGATGTGTACAGCACTCAATTTCTGGAGGATGCAATAATTACTTAAACTTAATCTACAACTGAAGTTGAATTAGAACTTGGTAATAGGATCAATTGCTGAAAAAAAATCAAAAGGTAAACTTTTTTAAGTACCGCAAAGTATTTACCCCGATGACAAATATTACAGTATAATTAGGCTGTAAAATCCTACATTCTAGTTCAGCGTTTGAACTGCAGTATTCAACCATTTTATGGTTTACTCCTCTGCATTGAATATTATTTAACTTAATTTAGTTCCAAACTAAATGGACGAACCAAATTGACTGAAACTATCACTGGCATTTAAAAGGTGCACCTAGTTACTAACTAAATATCAAGTCCGTTTAAAAGTAGACTTAATGCAACAGTAACTCGAGAAAGCCACTTATGTGCAGGTAGTTACTAAAGTTATTAGTTACTAAAGTCGTAAGAAATATTCTCTAAAACTAGTTCTAAAAATTAAATTAGTAACACATTAGCTGATTGTAGAAAGCTTTGTCTACAGCCGAATAATTTAATTATTGAATCTCTATTTTTATCCTTTTGTCATAGACAAATAAAATTAAATATAGACTAACAGCAGTGTTGCGGTTAGCACAAGTTCTGGCGCCCATCGCTAGCAGTGCCGTGTAGTTACGTAGCGCGTGTGCCATAACTACGGCGCTCCCAGTGGTGGACACTAGAACTTTATGCTAACCGCAGCACTGCTGTCGGTTTATATTTTATTATATTTATCTATGCTAAACTATTCGTAAATAAGTAACTTTAAAAAGCAACGTATGTACAGGGAGACTCGGCAGTCGCAACAACAGCAACCTTCTGATGCAGTCCACTCCCATGAACCCTTCCCTCTCGGACCCCTCTTGTGCAGGTATTCGGTGTGGCATGTGCACTTAACACCCTGCACAATGCACAGTCCACTGCACTCTGCACAATAACTCCAAGAAATATTTTCTCAACCCAAACTTCAAAAATATTTTAAAGGTTTAAGTACCAGCAATAAAAGAATACTTGTTCACGTTTCTTAAAGTAATAAGGATTAATCGATTTGACCATGACGTTCAAGTAGGTGTAGAGCCTACTAAAGCTGTTGGAGGCCGTTGTTATCAGCCTGTTTATCGTTGCATTTCAGAGACTGTAAGACTGTTACACTGTATTTACATGTATTTTTATATTCCCTCTTATACGTCTAGTACGTTATTCAAACGAGTCCTTCGATTTTGAATTCATAATATTATTTATTACATAACTATAGAGAATCAATTGTTCACTTCGCGTGTATGAAGAAGAAAAATATCATGCAACACAGATCATAACGAATTAACCCTCTGGTTTTACTTATTTTGATAGGTTATATTTACTAGTAATGTTTCTCCTTTCAAATGGAGAAAAGCCATTAGGATACTATTATAATCACTTTGTAAACCTCAACAGTAATTTCGCAATTTTAAATTCATTTCAGCTTTAATACATTATCAAAATTAGGGTTGGGAGGATAATTTCTCAGAGCTATCTTCTGCACTTTGCATAGTTTGCACGGTGTATTCTGTGCACTGCCTCACCTTTTCTGCACTGCACTACTCATTACATTCTATATCTACTAGCTTCCTTTCGAATATTGCGTTCAAATGTTAGAACATTAATCGAGACAATATACTGTAGTTTGGACCCAAATTGTGTTTTTTGTGTGTTTATTTATGTTTATAAGTGTACAAACAAACAACTGACAATTTGAGCTTGGTCCAGTTTAATCTGAAGTAAATAACGACTTTAAGAATAACCTACTCAGAATAACATATTCTTTGCTATGTTAAGTTTGGTTATCTTAAGTACATACACATACAATTTTTGCTTGATTTGATTTTGCCTTACACATTGTTCCCCACAATAAAATACAAACAGTGAGAACAGCCTGAAATTGAATTCAGCTGAACAGTAACGACTAATATGTACAAATTAAATCGTTCAAATGTAGTATCACAGACTCGGGACCCTAGTCTGTGGTAGTAAGTATAAATCCAATGACAAAGTTATTGACCGACAAAACTGCTTGTATCCTGCTTTACACGGAATATAATCTATAAAAATCTGTTCAAACAGTTGTATAAGTAAAAAAGTAAAAAATAAGAAATAGCCCTAACATATTAAAGGTTTATAAAGAGACCGTACCAACCTAGCTATTGAGTTAAATGCGTTTTTATCATAGGACTTATTGATATCTTATATCAATCATTGGACTATTAAAAATATTTCATGAAATTTTTTTGTAGCCTAATTATTTAATTACATTGATCCCTGTTGCAAATTCTAAACTCACCTCATGCCTTTAAAGAATATTATAAACTTTATTCGAATGGAGGAATAGGCTTACCCAAAATGGAAATGGAATGGAAAATGGGCAAATACACATTAATGACATGGTAAAGTTGTTAAAAGTACAAATTTAATTTATAACTATTTGCAAAAATATTATTTTTATTATATACATATTTTAAGAATACACAGGTTTGCCTTTGCCAGACACTATAAAAGCGCACCACCTGCCGAGACTATTGGACTTGTCCTGAGAGACGAGTCTACCCTCACTGTTTATATCTGATAAAATATTTAAGAGTTCTCGCTGCAGCAATATAGTCCCTACCCAGATGGAATGGCGCCCCTTTATAAATATATAAGTGGTCTGACTTATTAATATCTCCGTAACGTCCAACTGCACTCTTTCTGATGATTTTGCGTTCTTTAGAGTATCTTTCCTTGTGTTTATTGTACACAAGTTTATTACAGTCAATATTCCTATGTGTTGTAGCTTAAACTTAACAAAAAGTACGTAAAAGGTATTTTTTTAACATTATTACAAAGTGTACAAGTAGAAGTCTAAACTAATGGTAATTTTGATTTAAAGTAGAAAATATTACTAGTAAGGGCATCCAAAAATTACTGTTTTATAATAAAACACAGTTAAGTACTTTTGCACCGAAAGTGGAGACATTTTCCTGTTGAAATAAGTATTTGTATGGGTTTGTTTTTTAGTTACTCAACAAAAAACGGTGACGGACTATGAATTGGTTTCACCCAAAATATAAAAACTGATTAACAATTGTTATTTGTGCAACTAGTGAGCAATTGAACTTTGCACTCGAGTTGCACATTATATTTTTCCTACAGTTACCATAAAACAAATAAATAGGTAAAGAAACGTGACATATTTTTACACAGAAGTGAACTTTTAATATTACATTTAATGATACAACAGTACAACAGCTGACCAGCTGATTTACAGACAGTGCTGCCAATGTATTTCGCGCGCATACGATCTTGTCTGCATGTTACGCGCTCACTATTTCGTGCTTTCACGTTGCAAATCCGGAGTGAGTGAGACAAAGTAATTAGAGTGAGACAATGTTAACATTGTCTCTCTGGCCACTTTGCTTTCTCAAATCAGTGAGAGAACATGTACATTGTTAAGTAACTGCAGGAAAAAATCTTTTCGCCACGCAAAAGGAAACCGTTTTTTTAATCACTAAACAATGCTCGTAGGAAATAAGTTGGGTGGCAATTTTAAACTATAGCAGTAAAATCGTTTAAGGAAAGGAATTTATAGGTAAATGTTTATTCTAGTTTGGTAAACTGTATCAATAAAATGAATCCTCTTCATGTGTTTTATTTTTCTTCCAGATATGCACAGAACTGTTGGATGGACGGACTCACCCCTGGTATTCATAGCTTTGCTCACGCTGTTCTTCGGATCCTTCTATTGAATATGATCAAGCAGTTTATTACTTCGAAGTAATTTGTTTCGTGAACTTTTATAACTTGTATATAATGTAGTTTTAAAATACAACTATCAATGTTCCTAAATTTTATAAAATTATGTTTGAAAACTTAACGCATACGCGAGGACCAAAATTGCACGTTTTATGACTTAAATTTTTCTATAGCTCAAAACTATCCTTTCTTGTGGCTAATAATTGTTTATGTTAACACAGGCCAAAAAAAAATAATTTATTATGCGTTTTGAAAAAAAAACCTATTTTATTCAACCCATTGTACCAATGTACAATTACATAATTTACAACGTGGGTACTTTATAACAGATTTACCTTAAACGCACTATGGTTGTTGTTTGTACCTTACTCTCTTTTAGCTGCATTGTATGCCGTTATTTAAAAAAAGTTTTTTTGTGGAAAATCAATTTCATCTTGCATAAACCACTTTTTAAAATCTTTTTAACAGAAATAAATTGTGTCATTCATGTAAAATATAAAAGTGTAAATTTTATTGTATGGTTAAGACAAACTCTCCTATTTGTGCCTTTGAGTTGACTATGTAGCATAGATAGACCGAAGAATCGTGTACATAACGCTGTTAGATTAAGTGTGCTTAGAAACAATGATTGTGGATACATTGGTGATAGATATCTTAAATGTCTGATTTTTTGTTACAGGCTAGGCTATATAATTCTTTTACATGGTTTTTGTTTCTGTAAGTGTGATCAAATATATCAATTTCAAAAAAAAAAATTGCATAAACGTCATTTCGGTACGGAATTTATCAGCAGCATCTGCGTTTACGATGTCTACTTCAGTTTCAATTGTTAATAATAGAATATAGGTGGTAAGTTTTGTACATAAATAAGACACTAAAGTACACAGCTAAGGGTAAAATATGGTTGTTAAAAGTTTGTTTTCTATAATAGAATTATGCTGTTTCAATATATGTTATATTGTCTATACATTTATTGATGAAATTTTATACATTTAGAAAATTATTTAATATACATTGACCAAAACACTTTTTTACAGATATACAGGGTGTCCACGCTAAACGTTTCAGGACTTTGGAATATGAATCCTCATGTTAAAAGAAAGAAAAATCTGTATGTGTAGGTATGTCAGAAAATGCATATTTACCTAGATATACACCATTTTGTTCTTTATAGATAACTATTTTTATCTTTGAAGTTTTTCAACCGATATTCATAAAACTTTGTAAGCATGTTAAAGTACACAATACCTATTATGAAAGAAAAGCTCAATTTGATGGGATTAAAAATTTCGAAATTGCGGCAGTTTTAATTTTTATAGTTTAAATCACTCGAAAACGTATATTCTTATTTAAAAAAATTCAAGAACACATTTTTAAATTTTCAATTACCTATCAAACAAAACCAAGATCAAATAGATCCAACAGCAAATAATTGAAATAGAATTTTTTTATGTAAAAATAAGCAATGTTAGTTCAGGGTGCGCTTTATTTAGCCTTACCTTACAACCAAAAATCGTTCCATTTCAGTTATTTGCTGTCCGATCTTTTTGATCTTGGTGTCGATTAATAGGGAATAAAAAAAAATGTATTCAGGAATTTCGAGTTATTTAAGTTATAAACATTAAAACTGCCACCATTTTATAAATTTCTCATCGGAACAACTTTATTTGTTATTCTATTATAGGTCTTGTGTACGTTAACATGCTTACCAAGTTTCATAATCATCAATTGAAAAACTTCAAAGATAAAATTAGTTTTGTATAAAAACAAAATGGCGGATATCTAGGTAAATATGGATTTTCGGACATACCTTCACGAAACGTTTTTTCTTCCTTTAACATGAGCATGCATATCCCTAAGTCTTGATACTTTTTAATGGACACCCTGTATATTAACAGACAATTGTGTTAAATTTTCATTTTGTGTATCGGTAACATTCTAAATATATCTGTTCCATTCCTTGTTATTTCGTTTCTATATTTTCAATAATTGTAAAACAGTGTATACGACCTATCTATTAGGTCTAATTTTTAATAACTTTTAATAGCTTTTACCTCATTGTACTCTAAGCTCCGTATTGATTATAACCAATATTTTGCAGTGTTCTATTGTTTTCATGTGGCGTTGTTAGGATTTTACATAATGATAATCATAACTTATAAATTATCGCATGCAATATTTATGATTTTACCAAGGTTTTAAATATTTTGCAGTTTGATAAATGTCTCAATACATTAATGAAGTATTTTGTTTATAGTAAATAAATATGTAAATATCCATTAACCTTATCATTCCGACTCCAAATCGTTCCTCTATTTGTATAAATGTAAAGTTATTAATTGAAAATGTAAATATATTTAAGAAAATGTTGTAATGATACTTTGTGAATAAAGCGACGTTCCTCTGATAAAATGTAATGGAAGTTTATCCACCACCTAACTCTTTTAGGTAAGCTAATTGAAAATTAGTAGAAAAACAAATAGCTTTATTAATCTCTTATAGTCCAATATTTCCATAAAAATAGAAGAATACACTATATATTTCTATTAAATAAACTAAGTGAGCAAACAATGTACGAAAAAAAATAAATACTCACCCAAATTTCTTAAAATAAATATTTAATAAACACTACTGAGTGGCTTATTTCATATTAAAAAAGCTAAATGTGTGACTTTAAATGTTTTACATTTGCAAAACAAAGACGAAGTAAGTTTCTTTGACACTAAAAAAACACCTTTACCTGCAGAGTCTATTGGACTTGTCCCAAAAAGACATTCTACCCTTACTGTTCATATGTAAACAAATATTTGCATTTTAACTGCAGCAATACAGTGTTAGTGGAAAAATAAAATTGCACCACTTCATAAATACTTAAGTGTTCTGTCTTATTTTGATATCCGCAACGACCGTCTGGACTGTTTTTTGTTACCAGTTCCGTTCCAAAAATTCTTCGCACTGTGCATTAGATAAAATAATATAATTCAAATTGAACTACTTGCTTAATTAGTTGTATTTTAATTTGTTTTAAAAACGTAGGTTTACCTTTAGTAAAACTTCAGAGTTGCTGTTAAAATATGAAAATCTCTCCGTAGTAATATGCATTGTATATCTTAATTTATATTATTGCCAGTAAACTATTCAAACTTAAAAAGAAAAAAAAACATTATTTGGGATGGTTTTATAAGCTATATGAAGGTATTTTCTTCTTTGTTCTTGTATAACTTTTTAATCAAAATAAAACATACAACACCATCCCATATGGGTCACACTATTTGAGATTTCATCACATTTTTGTGGCAAAAACGTTAACACGTGTTAATAATTTGCAGTTTAATACAAACTTTGTGAACCGAGAACTTCCAAGTAGGTAGGGCGAGTAAATGAGTAAACTTGGCAACTTGGTTAAGTCGGATCTGCAGGTGTGAACATCACAAGTTGATAATTGGTCCCGAGTTTACACCTATTCCCTTTTCTCATCTTATTTGAGGGGGAGGTCTTTGTTCCAAGATACTTGAAGATTCAAACGATGGGAAAGATATCACATATAAAATCATTATTGTTTGATCAAATTGCACACTTAATATTTTTCTTTTGTGATTAAGTAGAAGCCTGTTGAATTGCACTGCACTTTAGGTAAACATTTTTATTAATTTTCAGTTTGATTTATGATGGAACAGTTTCAATTTATCACTGTCCCATTAGAATATTTATTTCCTCAACCATTTGCACTCTGGCAGGATGTCATTTTGTATATCGACACAATATCTTAAGTCTGAGTTTTAATTAATAACACTGAATTTTTATAGTATATTTCGTACCTAGGGCCGAAAATGAGGTTTTGCCGGCTCGACATTGTTTTTTAAGTTCGACTTCGTCTCAAACTTAAAACGATCGAGAGCTGCAAAACCATTTCGGTCCGTGGTACGAACGCTATTTTTCACCACACTATACCCTATTACCACTATTCACCACAATAATAATGCACACTGATAGTCAACACAACTACAACTTGGTTATGTGAAGAAATAATTTGAGGTATCAGCAAAAATAATAACAAATAGTTGCTAGGCAACGGTGACATTAAAACAATTCTATTGCAATGCTATGGATACTGATTGTGTATTAAATATGCATTCATGTTGAAGTAAGTATGCGGGCAGCTGATTTTGCGGTCCTAAGGATGTAAAAACCTGCTCGGTCCCCAAATAACAATGACAGTTGGCATAGCCAGCAAAACGTAACTTTCATCCACCAATTAACGTATGTAAAACAGCTAAAACATCATAGTGTGGTGAAAATATGCTTACTTGTAAATATTAATATCAGAGAAAGAAAACGTTTCAGTTCGATAGTAAAACAGATTTATTAGAAAATGCTTGCAGCTTATGAAATATATGTTGATACTTTTACACCACCATCAGAATGTACAACAAACAAAAAAAGACTAGTGATATATCGTTTTATATAGTTTTGCTTTGCATGAAGAACCTAAAAGAAATTCTTCACCTTATTTTTTATCACTAGCTTTTAGTTTATAAATTTTCGGACTAACTTGTGATTATTGACTTTACGTGGTGTGTTATATAATAATCGAAACCTATAAACATACTTGTATGCGTATACAATGATTACTTGTTTAACCAACTGTATTTTCTGGAAACAGCTCAATGCGTATAAAATTATTTCTCTACTTAATTGATCCCAGCTTGAATAGTTTAAGAGTAAATAATTAATTAAAGGCATGATACTTAATCAGCAATATAATAATATTATGTAAAAAGAAATTCATTCCGTTGTAACGTAGATAAATTAATTAGGAGTAAGTATATTGATTAAAATATATAAATGTAGTAACTCTCAGTTGAAATGAATGTAAATGCGTTTCACAAAATACTCAATAAAGGCCTAAAGTGTATACACTTATTTTTTCATTTTGAGGTATTTTACATTAAGCCTACTATGTCCATAACCAATGTGTTAATTTACAATTGTGTTACGTCTCAGAAAAATATATAGAATAAATAATTTAACTAGTAAATTTTCTAAAATAGCCTCTTATATCAATTACATATTTATTGTGACTCTCGTATTTTATTTTAAAAGCATATCGTTTGTTAGATAATAGAGTTGTCAGTTAATTGGTGTTAGCACCCAATAAGACTGGCTTGAATAGGAGGGATGTGACGAAGGAAGCTAGCTTAGTCTAAAGATAATGTTCTTGTAGAGTATTCACTGCTGACTAAGGAATGATGGCTGTTCAAATAACCAAATTGTTGTACATCTTAGCAAATAAACTAACATATGAGCTATGTTTAAAATATTTCTATATGACTTAGTTTAAATATGAATTTACAAGTCTAAAGTTTATTAAGTTTGTTTAACATGTGTTTTAAATTATGATAAAGTTGCAATTGGAATTGGGAATGTTGAAAAAGTTTTTATTTTTTTATAAAACTATATATGAAGTACATAAACACATACTTTTTGTAACTACAGAATTGCGACCGTTTAACAAACTGTCTACCAATAATCGATTTGTCATAGTCATAATTTAAAACATCTGTGCACGTGTTTAGGTGAAAATGAAACAGTAAAAAATCATCGAATGTTACAGTAAAAATGAAAATCATCGAATGTTAAAGAAGTAGATTTCGTATATCTATCATACTAATATTATAATGTGAAAGTATGGATGTTTGTATGTAACTCTGAAGTCCCATAGCATGAAAACTACTGGACCGATTAAGGTGAGATTTTGCAGAGAGGTGCTTGATAGTCTTGAGAAACACAAAGGCATATTAAAGTTGTGAAAATCCTATAGAGCTTTGCCCCACGGGGGTTCAAAATTTTCATGTTATTCTTATGAGTATTCATATATATAATGAACTACAGAATTTAGCCGGATAACTTAACTAAACGAGTTGGTTCTAATTATTTTATAAAATTAAAAAGTTTACCAACAAGGTGCAGCACTATATTTCTTTTTTGTATTTATGACAACAGCTATTTTAATCTAAGCAGCAACGAAAAGCTGTGATACACAATAAGTACTGCCAAAGTAGGATTGTTTACAATTATGTGTGTGTATTCAATTTTAAATAGCTTGTGATATTGTGCGAATGTTTGATAATTTACTTTTTTTATTGTTTAGGTGCAATGGTAGATCTATGACTATGGTAGAAGTGTTATACAAAAGCATATAGTAATTATAAAGAAAATTTTTTTTTCAACAGTGTCCTCGCCTTTTGCAAACGCAGAGCACGAGTATAAATGT